CGCGCATGGTAAGGGCACGTACTCCAAAGTTTCAGTCATCTAGCTTTTCTGGTTCTCGAGTTGAAAATGAGTGACGAAAAGTGCGAACACATAGACACATACACACAGACAGCCTTTCCCAATATGCGTTTTTGCAATTTGCATGTATGCAAAAATGCATAAAAAGCGCAGTTTTCAAGAAGCTATTTGCAGAATTTAAAGATATCACTAAATGCTTAAAATTAAGAGGAATGTGATACGTTTATAGGGAATGCTGATAAGGTATTACCACAGTCTTACATTCTCAAAAGGAAAAAGAAAATAATAAAAAACTTTATGCAGAATTAAAAAACGATCAGAAATCCCATCATATTTCACTCGTTACCACAGACAGAAGTATTCGGAAGTAGCCTGAGTGGTTCAGCAGCAAACACTCGCTGCCGATGGATCAGTTCTCGAATTCGTTTAGAAGCATGCTTACGGCGACTTTTTGGCACCTGTCAGTCCCAATTTGCTGTCGAAAATAATCAAAAATAGCCAGATTGCGGCATTTTTGCATAGTTATCACATGTTTCGACAGAAAACCCGTATTGCTTGACTGGAAGCGATAGACATAAAAAAACGATACTCACTGCTCAGTTGCCAAAAAATTCAGCAAGGAGCCAACGGCACAGGACATTCCACTTGTGATGGTTACCCAAGGCTCGTAGGAGCGTTGCAGCTCCGTGCTCGCATTCCCACTAATATTCCATTCCTCGCTGCTGCTATTCCGGAGTTTATAATGGAAATACTGAAAAAGTTCACCTTTTCAAGACTCACCCATACTGAATATGCTCAAATGACGCACCTAAACCAACAGATGGTTCTCTTACAACGAAAAAGTAACATGTGATTGGGGACAACGAAGAACAGAAATTCTCTTAATATGATATTAAGATAATCATTTGGATGGGACAGATTCTTCAGGCTGCATAAATATCTGATCAGGAACTACTGGAAGGGGTTATAAAAATTAGATTATTATGCTGAAAATACTCAAGAAAATCAAAAAAATTCAAACGAATATTTTAAACAAAATACACGAACATTTTAAATTCACTGCTGGCAAATTCAGTGCAATTAGTCAGTGATGCCTCCTACTCTCAGCCTTATCCGCGATGGTTCGATTGCACACTGACGAAGCTAGTCCTTCCACGATTGCCCGGTTCTTAATCTCGCATTCCAGACAGTTAAGCGGCATTCACCTTACCTTTCAAATGATCCTCGAAAAACGGAAGTAGTGATATTCCTGTCGGCAACAGGCGGTTGCTGTTCAAAAAGTGCTATCAGTCGAGCCATTTTCAAGCACTTTCACTTCTCTCAAACTTTGAGGAGTTATCAAAGAGCAATTTTGAGGAGTTATCAAAGCAGACCAAGTCAGAAAAGGCTCTGGCTTGCTCTGCTTTGATAAATCCACAAAATTTTTTAGCACGCTTATTCTTGTTACCTTTACATCCTTTACAGTTTAGGGGCTGATAACTTTCGAGATGAGGTAGCAGTGCCAACACACAAAGGCATTTCTAAAAGGCTAAGACCTTGTGAAGAGTTTCTGTTGAAAGAATCGCTGAGCTGAGAGTTCCCTTAAAGGGCGAAATGAACTTCAAAACCTCTATCATGCTGACTACTAGGTGGTGCAATATTGGCCAAAGCACTGGGACAACTGACAGATTCACACGAGCAGAACTAGACAGTGGATTATTAAAAGATGCTCCAAGCTGTAACGGAGGTGCTGTGCTGCTAATATGCTCGCAACATTTACAGAAAGACCGGGGAGAGGTTTAACGTAGCCGATTTGAACGTTTCCAGCTAATACGAACTACGCATTGTGGAGGGAAAACATGGCCCTTTCTTAGTTCCTAATATACCTCTACAAGTTCTTCCATATTATTTAGATTAGCCACCAAAACGGCTTCGAGGACCGAAACATTCCTGTTCAGTCGTCTCAATTTTAATTTTATTTTATTTTCATTTAATTTTATTAAAATACATCTTTAAAAATGCATCTACGATGGTTTTTTTTTTTGAGTTCCATACCAAAGCTGTTTTGCAGTAATTTTTATTTTTCGTGTTGCTGTAACTAGGAAAAACCTCAAAGCCACATCTACCAGTTCCAGCATTCGTCTCAAGCGTATTCATACAAAAGACAAGATATTGCAGAATTTCTCAATAAAAGTTCTGTAGTACGCAACAGATTCTCAGAATTATAATGCCAGAATTATGATACGCATCCCAGTGACACAAAGGATATCCATGAATTAATTAGACCTAGAAGAGGCCTACCTCGTGTGCATTCATGAACAAATTCCATGGCAATAAGCTGGTGGTCGAGATTAGCAAAAAGGCCGCAAAAATGGCCGTCTCTTGCGTAAACATCTTCAGACACCGGGCTTCTCGTTCGCTGCCACAAAGTGACACCCGGATTACTCAAGCATTCTTTTCAGCATCTGCAAATGATGTGATCCATCAGAAGACGATTCAAAAACTCAATTTAAGAGATAAACATAAGTGATAAACATAAGAGATAAACATAAGCTATACTCACTTTTTCTTGAAAAAAATGAACTATTGTGAGGCACTGACAATAGTGAGGAGACCAGGGCGCCCCTCATCGAGAATCGGCTGCACAGACACACATACACACACACACACACATACATCAGTTTTCATTGGAATTCCACTGATAAATTTCAGGACAGCAGATGCACCACTACTGGTGGATGTTCCCTTCTCAAAATGGCCTTACTCTTTGTTCTGCCGCTCAGTCCATTAATGAGCTTATGGCTTGTCACATTCACCACGATTCTGCATCTTCCAGCTAACTCGGCTTACTTTTGTGGCCCTTTTTACGCGTTTTGTGCTGTGCAACAGCTGCACAAACCGCATATTGTCACGGGGTTGTTTATATGTTTATGTGTTTGTATGTGTGTGTGTGTGTGTTTGTGCGTGTATGTGTGTGTGTCCGCAGCAACTTGTCCGCAACTTTCAACTCGGGAACCACAAAAGCTACGTAGCTGAAAATTTGGGGGAAGGTTCTCCAGCCACGTATGATCCTGCAAATTTAAATTTAACCTCCTCACAACCAGGGGTAACACGTACGGCCCTGTGAAATTTTTGGCGGTTAAAATTATTATCACGAGAACCAGAGAAGCTAGAAGGCTGAAATTTTTGGACAATGACCTTCTGCCTACGTACGACCCTGCAAATTCCAATCCAGCATTTCAGCGCTCTGAAATATCACCTACGGCCCTGTGAAAATTTTGGCGGGCAAACTACTATCTCGGGAACCACGGAAACTAGGAAACCGACTCCTGCCCAGGCATGTCCTTGCAAATTCAAATTCAGCGTCCCCGCACTTTCGATTGTCAACTGCGGATCCGTGAATGTTTTGACAGGGAAAATATAATCTCAATGACCATAAAAGCCAAGAAGATGGAATACTGCGGTAGTGCGCCCTGCCCACATACAATCCCACAAATTTAAGTTTAGCCTTTCCGCGCGACCACGTATCATTTACGGCCCCGTGAAAGTTTCGGCGAGGAAAATTATTATCTCGAAAACCAAGAAAATTGGAAATCTTAAATTTTAGGGCGATGTCCCCTACCAACGTACAACCCTCGCAAATCTGGATGCTGCACCATCTGGTAGCACCATCCGCACCGTATTACGTATGGCCCTGTGGAAGCTTTGGTAGGGAATTACTATCTCGTGAGCTGCAAAAGCTAGAAAGCTGAAATTTTAGCGTGACATTCCCTGCTCATGTACAACTTCCCAAATTTCCGACATCCCGGTGAAAGTTTTGACGAGAAAAATCATTGTCTCGGAAGCCAGAAGAGTTCGGAGGCTAAAATTTTCTGCAGACTGTTTTCTGCCTAAGCGGGGGCTTCACAAACTCGATTCCTAGGTATGCGGAAACTTCATGTACGAACACGTGAAAGTTTTGTCTCAAAAATCATTCGAAAACCAGAAAAATAAATTGAAATTTCGGAAGGACATTCACTCTTCGAGGTTTCAAATTCAGCTTTCACGTACTGATGCGTGGAATTTTCGACTATTTTTAGCATCTCAACTATCTTTGCACAGAACAAAGTGCAAAGCAATGAAAGTCATTAATAGGCCATCATTCGGGGAGCGGAATTGCATAGAACGCATGATCGCATCGGCTATTCTGGTGCGAGCTGCTATTTGTTAAGTTTTGCGCTCTCGTCGACTTAGCGGCGCTGCCTCAGACCTTCGCCCCTCTTTTTCTCGAATCTCCTGCAGAAAAGGGCGACACTCCCAATTCGCTACAAGAATGAATAAACAGCAACGCGCACCAGACTAGCTGGTGCGATCGTGCGTTTTGTGCAATTCAGCCTATCGAACGATTGTCTATTAATGATTTTCACTGCTTTGTACTTTT